CATAACCATTATATTTGGCTAGGTCGTTTCCAAAGTCGGTGAATTCCACAAATAGGCTGCATAAAATAACATTTCTACACAAAATTTCCAAATTTATTGCCCTTTAATTTTGAGTATTCTGCTTCTCTTGATTAATAATACTGTGTGAAAGGTTATATACTTCATTGTAGAATGCTTGAAGCACTTGATTGTTGTTTTTAAAAGGCTATTAAAACATTCTGTAGTTGTTAGAAATCAGCAATTTGTTCAATAAATAGAAGCATAGCCCAGTGTCCTAACTAGCTTACTTTCCCCTAAGCTGCAGCTCTCCAGCATTGTGCACTGAAAAAGACAGATTTCATTTTTTACTTCAGCTTGCCACTTTCCAGTGGCAGCTGCCCTCCTATGATGGATTAAACTTTTCCTGTAACTTTCACTTATTTTTGAAAGATGTTTGGCACAAAGTATCAGGGTGTGGGTGTGTGAATTATAAAGTTAGCAGAAGTTAGTGAACTGGGTCTACCCCTCCCATTAAGTGACTGAAAGACATCCACTGTGTGCCTGGTGATGCTCAATCATTATGTTAATAGATAGTATGCCTCGAACGTTATCTTTAAACCATGATGCCTGTGTAATGAATGAGATACCTGCAAAATGTGACAGACTATTATCCCTGGGGAAAAAAAAAGAATCTCCAAATAAGTAAAGTATGGATGTCTCCTGTGGCTTTACCAACATGTCTTCACCTGTCTTCTGAAGAACCAGAAGGCATAGACATAAAAGGCTATTTATAGGGATAAATAGATTTCTATTCCTTGGCCCCCTACTGAAAATGCTGGTTACAATTGTGACCAGCAAACCACAAAATTAAAAATTCCTAGTGTTATTTCTAGGAGATTATCTGTATCATTGAGAGAAAAGCCTTCAACTGGAAGTTGGAATGCTGTTGTCATGATAGCAATTAAGGATGCTTAGCAAAGGAAGAGTTCTTCCCCAGTACACGAGGTCCATCAGGCCTCAAATATGCTGAAATAACCTCTTTTCATCATGATGCTGAGTGGTTTCTTTGACAGTACGCAGTCAGGCAAGGTAGTATTCGGTAGTATTCCACTTTACAAGATTGGGAAGCTGAAGCAAAATGAGCTAAAATGATGTCCCCACAGTGCCACAGACGTTATACATCAAATCATGAGAAGGAATCTAAGATCCTTATCTCTGAGATTTCATGGAGATGATGCATTTCTTCAGAAATGTGCTGAATTTCTCACTGTTGAGCATAGTGAGATGTGAGTGTTGAGGTGTGAGATCTGAAAGAGCAGGTAGTTTGACTCAGAAAGTGGACTTATTTCTATAAATCACAATCTGCAGATTCCTATCAATGCTGTGCTTCCAGACAACCTAACAATGGCCCCACACAGGCTTAAGTTGACATGAGGTTGCAATCACCTTGACTACTGTAGCTTGAATATTATAATTCAGACCTACACTGGCTGATAGTCTTTGTTCAGAACTGTAAATTTAGATGATCCACCATTTCTGTTGAGATTCATGTGGCTCACAGTAAATACTTGGGATGAAACACACTCGATGACCAGAGATCTGAACTATGTATCAGGACTTGTACTGTCCATCCTAGAAAGGCAACCTTTAACTGAACCATTTTCTGTTCACTGTAGATAGTAATACAACATATGTTTTGCAGACCTCATTTTCAGCACTCAGTAGGGTACAGATGGTAACACTCCTGATCTTGTCATGACGCTCTGCAGCTTCAGCAGTTCAACAGCATAATTAGAAAAAGTCAGCTCTACCAACTGAGTTATGCTTGCAGTGAAAGCCTCCAGCTGCAGTTGACAGGACATTTGTGTATGCATGTATTAATCATACATGTATGCATACACACATGATTAATACCTACATATTTGCAGAATGCTGATAATTTTTCAGGAAGCATTTTCACTGAAGCACAGGTGCAAGTGTTTTAATGATAACTGTATGGAAGCATTCAGCTGAGGACAGTCCATCCTTACAGGATACTTCCATTTGGAGGAAGCATTTCCAAATATTTGGAAGGATACAATTTTAACCAGGAATTTAATGTTTGTTAAGTGTTGATACAATGCTGTCACTGTTTTTCAGTAAGTATATTTCTTCTTTTTCCCCCAGCTTCTGCCAAGCAGCCTATATCTCTGCATTTCTCCTGCAGAATTTTTTCAAGAGCAAATAGTAGACAGTGTACTGTCTACTTATCAAAGTTTTTTTTAAAAATAATTTACCAAACACCTGATGATGTATAAACGTATACATTTGCTCAGTTCCACAACGTATGGAATAATCTTGCCTTCTATTAAAGAAAATAAGATGTGAAAGCACTAAACATAGGGAGTCCAGCAACAGAGAGACACTCAGCTGTCTGCTAAATACTGATGGCTTTTCTACACTTGAAAAGCTATCTGTGCCTCTGACCCTCAGCTTATCTGTTACATATATGACCAGGCAATAGAAAGAAGACAAAAAGCTGACCTCCTAAATGTTCATTTTGAAAAATCCTGAATGCTCTGCTGTACCAGAATGCAAGTCTGTTTTTCAAGGATTAATTTGTGCTGATGTTATCTGGTATAATCATTATGCAATTGTGCAGATAATGGGAATAGCCAAAGCATACTATACTCCAATTATATACTGTACCAGGCAACTACGGAAGCTTCTTGACATGTGGAAATTTCTTCATGCCAGAGTAGTACAAAAGGCACCCTGACATGCACCTGAATTCTGTACCTGGCACCCTGGCATTTGCTATTCATCATTCACTTGAACCACATCTTTGAGAAGCTCTGCTTTTCCAGTTGACATTCCCAGCTGATAAAAAACCCTGCCCATCATTAAATATCATACAGCTGAGGCTTTTTTATCACTATCTATCATAATTACAGGGAATTCAAGGCATCATTCTATGTGGTACTTTCTTAGGGCAGTTTTTCAAAGTCACCCATACTCATTGTTTGTGTGGGTTGCTTTGTATAGATAGTTGTGTTCTTTGTAGAAAAGAAGGGATTTTTAAGCCTCATTTCTTTACTTAATTCCATTTTGGGTAGTTACATTTTGCCTGCCTGATTTCTCCACTGTGATTTCAGATGAATATTTGCTTCCATCTTCATATACTTGATACATAGGTTAGCGTTAGGTTAGCTGTTGGACGTGGTTATCTTTAAGGTCTTTTCCAACCTAAATAAGTCTGATTCTATACCATGATGTTTTGTTCTCTTTAAAGCACTGATGTGTTTCACACAAGAGGTGTCTATGTTTTGGTCATGTGGGATGAAATGCGGCTTGCAAACATAAAGAATAATGAGTATTGTTTATAAACTAACTGAAAGATCCTACTAAAAATCTGAAAAGGGAAACTGGTTAGTATGCATACAGAATGTTAGATGTTCAGGTGCTCTCTTCTGACCACCAAATGTATTAATCCTGTGAGGAAGGAGCTGATGAACTGTATGCAGAGGCAAATTTTGAGCTTATTTTGTAATTAATCTACTTCAGTTCAGTTGCAGCTGAAGGAGCCCTTGAGATCAAATTCAGGATTGGCCCATTTACTGTGGACTACTACCAGACAAGGACTTTAATGACTGTATTTTGACAGAAAAAAAATGGATAATGGACTTGCGTCCACAAATAACTAATTATATTACTCTCCTGCCTTGTCTTACTGAAGGTCTGAAATTCCTTTCCTGAGTTGTTAGGAATCTTGAGTCAGATTGCCTGCCCTGAAGTGTGTCTCAGTGCCCATGTATGGAAGAATATTTCTTCTGCAATTGCAACAAATGCTTAGGTTGCAAAGAGAGAGCATTTTCCTGGAAGGCGAAGACAACATACAAAAAGAATTTCAAAAGCATGGAAAACAAAGGAACATAGGCTGCTTTATGCCTTTAGGTACTTTCAAATCTCCAATTTACGTTCATAAATAATTTTAGTGCTCCTGAAAAAGTTAACCACCGTCTGTTTCTTTAATGATGCTATGTCTGGCTCATGAGATACATGTTCATGAAAAGTAGAGAAGGGATACTGATATTTTTGGTACGATCATGAAAGTGAGATTCTATTGTATCCAGCAGCTTTCCAAAATTTCGAACTTTAAAGGAGACTTCAAGGTAAAACATTGTGTATGTACTAGATACTTTTAGAATATATGCAATACCTTCTTATGTGCTAGAGTTGCTCTACACACAATACAGGTTCTGGTGCTAGGACAGTAGTCTGCCCGCTTCATCTGCAGATGCTTATGGTAATGCAAAAGTCAGATCTATGCTCATGTAATTCAGTTTACAGTCACAAGTTCTCTGAGTATTCAGTTGTGCAGGACTTACATTTTGAAGGAGAGATTCAACCTTCAAGGAGAGAAAGGAAGTTTGTGAGAAAGTTTTAGACACTTGACCAGGTCAGAACATGGTAGGCCTTGAAAAGACCTACAAAAAACATACAGCTTCTGCCCTTATTGTGGTAAACTCTGAAGATTACCCAAGCAATACCAGGGAAAGATCACTATTTGTCCACACTTACCACACGTGTCTTTCTGAGGTATGTGTACCTGTGCTACACATGAGAAATAAACACGATCTGACAACACACTGTGGCAATGCTTAGCAAAAACTAGCCCTATTTTCACTAGCAGCAGAGTCATAGGTATGTGCAGCAGTTAGAAGTTTAGATGTCATGGGATGGACCCTTGTGATGCTGTAAGTAACCTTCAGAAAGTGACAGTCCACAATTTTGAGCATCAAAACAAGTGCCTGAACAGCACATGGTTAACCTCAGGCTATATTAATCACTGCCTGTAGGGAACCAGCTATAGAAAAAAAGCAATCAAAGGAGTGGTCACATCAGAAAGAACATAAAGAAACACTTGCTATGATTATGTTTAAACCAACCACAGGCTCTGTTTACAAATCTTTCCATCTATTCCTTTGCCTAAACATTTCTGCTTTCCTTCTCTGTCTTCTAACTTTCCTTCGTCTTTCCAGATGCAGGACGCTATGGGCTATGAGTTACCATGGGTGTATTTTGTCAGTCTGGTCATCTTTGGATCCTTTTTCGTTCTAAATCTGGTTCTTGGTGTGTTGAGCGGGTAAGCTGACAGTTTTGGTGTCCTTTTTCCAATGCTACAGGGCAAGACTCCATAATAAGGGTTCTTCCCTGTCACCAGGCTCTTCCAGAGGGATTAAAAATCTGAATCCAAGGAAGCTTCCCATCAGCTCTCAAATAGTTTGACAAAATATTAAAACATTGCAAGTAACAATACAGGTCATGGAAGAGGTGTTGTTCTCTGACAAAGAAATTCAACCTCAGGGCATTCAAAATTTCTAATGTTAACCTGTCATAAATTTCCAGAAAACTGGGTATTGAAAATCTTACTGCTGGTGACTTGGGATCTCTTTGGCTGGAGCCTTGCAGTGCTCAGAATCTGAGCTTGTCTCACTAATTATCATTCCACTCTTCCAGGTCAATGATGCCATAGGAAGGGACTGGCCCTGGATCTATTTTGTTACACTAATCATCATAGGGTCATTTTTTGTACTTAACTTGGTTCTCGGTGTACTTAGCGGGTAAGCAGTACCAGGAAAATGTTTTATTATTATTTATTTTTTAAAATTTGTATTTCTATTCCTACTCTCTGGTTACCAAAACAATGGGCAGTGGTGGGTTGATCTCAGGAACCTTAGTAGAAGGCCTAGGCTATTGCGGTGCCAACAGCAAAACACGGCGTTGTTAATGGCATGGAAGGAATCCTTTGGTTAAATCAAAGGAATACTAGACAATTCTTTGCCTGCAACAAGTTCCTCTACCTAAAATCTCTACCTGTAACCTATGGGAAGAGGATGATGCTATGCTCCCCTGTGGGTGAAGCATACCATTCACCATGGAAGAAGGGGATTACAGTAAAATTTCTGGAAGAGTCAGTGGAACTGGGGGAGGGATGAGAGCATGAGGCAAATCCCTTCACATTTGTGGGATGAGATTCCTGCCAAATCGTGTCTTTTCACGTGAAAAGTTTTCACATTGCTTGGTATCTCTAAAGCACAGCCTAGTGGGATACTATTTTCCCTGAAGAGTGTCCTAAGCATGTTTCTTCTTCAATAAGCACATCCTCTCTGTTGTGCAGATTACAAGCCTGGCATGACACAGGGAGAAAAGATCATTTCCCTCTGACCTTATCTAAGGAGGAACAGAGAAGAGGGAGAAATCCTTTTAATGTCTAAGCATCCCTAAGACATCTAGACATTCAGCTGTATTTCAGTTCTGCAGCATAACCCTCACTGCAAAGCACCATTTTAGTAGCTTTGATTAAAAACAATTGGTATTGTCCCCAGTAGTTGAAAACTTTACAGCCCCTGGGGAGCCACATAATTAAAGGAATCAAGCCAGAAGACATTCCTCGCAAGACTTTTTTAAAAATATTTCCTAGAATTAGTCTTCTAATTCCATATTTGGGCACGACTGGGTGCATATAGCCATCCTATGTACATGGGAAAACATGGTATGAGGACTTTTATGCATCCTTTTTTTCTTTTTTTCTAATACCCTGCCTCCTTTAATGAGCTCTAAATTAATTTGGTCAGAGCTTGTACCTGTTGCCTGAGTAGGCAGCCCTGAAGTCCCCTGTCTTTTGATCATAAGAGAGAGAAAACTACCTCTGAGCAGGAGAAAGGACTTGATGCCTCACAGAAATTATGGCCTCAGTACTTGGGCCAATAACACAGTAAGGGCAGTAGTAGGACTGGAGAAGAAGATCTGCCATTGGCCATCCTGCAAAGGGACAGGTAATAACAGATCTACAGGAGGTATTACTGCTATCTTCAGTACTCCAATGATGGAGACATGCTGCTAAGACAGCTACTGCAAACAGAAAGGTTTCCGAGCAGTAAAGGGAGCAGGAAGAAATCCCCAGTACTGAAGTGTCAGGCAATAGTCTGTGTTTAGATATCTGGAGAGTGATACTTTGGGTGCAATTTTGAAACATAAGTTCCTCATTTCTCTAGGTGGATGCTCTGATCAGCAGGTAAGGTTGGCAGCAATAGTGGAGGATGGTGACCAGCTGACAGAGGAGGGGTGGTCTGTTGTATCAGAGGCACACACAAGCACCGTGTAGGACAGCGGTTAAAGATCATATAGCATCTGATTAGACAAACAGTGCCTGTGAGCCCAGCCCTCAGGAGTGCATACTGCTGAAGCACTGCTGATTCTGTTTACCTACACTTGGATTTCTGTCTCTACATACTAAAAAAAAATTAATTTCCTCTCTCTTTCATTTTTTAACTCAAGAAAGTGTTTGGGCACCTAGACCTTCTACGTCCTGACACACCACAGTTAGACCACCACAATTAGTGGTAAGAGGTGGAAACAGTCTGTAGCGAGAACTGAAATCAAAGATGAAGCACACCTTGTTCAAGCTGTGAGTCACTCTTTCTGGCTGTATTCACAGTGTTATGACAGCTGCACTGTTTCTGCAAAATTTTTCCCAGCTGGAGAAAAGTAAAAAGAAACTTAAGAATATATATCCAATAAAAAAAAAAAAAAAAAAAAAAAAAAAAAAAAAAAAAAAAAAAAAAAAAAAAAAAAACAAAAAAAATTAAGAAAATATATCCAAAAAAAAAAAAAAAAAAAAAAAAAAAAACCACAGAAATTATGGAAGAAATGTTCCAAATTTTCTTAGGGCTAAATAAGCAGGTCTTAAACAAGTAACTTTCTAAAGTGATTCTAAATTCCACTGAGTAGCAAATTGTTTTCACTTTGCAGACTCAGCTGGTTTTTTTTTTTTTTAGAGACTTGCTATTAGTCTGATCTATGTAGATGATCCACCTGTCTGTTCTGTGTAGAGAAAAGCAACATTCCCGGGCATCTTTGTATATCCATTCTAGGCATCTCTGATTTCTCCCCATTTATCTGTTTCAGGAACTTCACCAATCATATGGTGTAGGTAGACTTCATCAATGACAGATTAGCTTATTTTTTTAATCACATCTGAATATGTAAGTGTAATTAATTGTACTCACAAAGACACCTTGATTGCACTTGCAAAATCAAATTATAAGTTCTGCTCTGCATAGAGAACTCATTTGTAATTTGTTTTTCCTCAGGTATGTCATCCATTCATGATCCTTCTGGTGAATTTACTAGTCACATGCTAAACTAAATAGTATGACACAGTATTCATGTGTAGAACTATAATCCTCTTCCTCTCGTGACTGAGCACAATATAAAATTCATGTATTCCAAAGAAATTATCCAGTCAGCAGATCACACAGTAGACCTCCTCAAGCCCAGGCAAAATTCCACATCACTGCTGTGAGCCCCTCTTAGAGGTCTCTTGAGATCAAAGATGTTCACATCCGTGTTATCTGTTTCAGTCAGTTGGTGAGGGGGAAAAAAAAAAAAAGGCAGTGTGAGCTAAACTTTCAGATCTGCATGCCTAAGCATATCGATTCATATTTTTTTAATATTTTGCCTAGCAGTGATCCAAATCCCAGGACACAGGCCAAACAAGCAGTTGCCTATGGCAAACGGAAGGCAGGGGAATAGACATTTCTTCTGCTTTGAGAGGATTCTGGAAAATCCATTTGGCTGCTTTTGATGCTCTTAGTGCCAAGGTAGAGGTCAAAGTGAATGGGCTATGGCTGTAACTCCTCCTGAAGCAGTTTTTTTGACCTTTCAGTACTTTATCCTAGTCTTCTGTCCCCTCTTCCAGCCTTTCCCATTCCTCGGTGTACTTCTCAGAGTTGATGAGGTTTCAAGGTTTGTGCTGCACTTTTAGTAGCATACAAGAGTTTTGAACTGCTAGAACTCTGGTGGTTTGCTCACTTCCCATCACTCCTCTAAATGTGAGGAAATAATATCGAGATCAGATATAGACAAGAATTACCTATATTTCATCTTCAGGATGGGCAAGAGAAATTTTCTTCTGGAACACCACAGGATACAGAGCTGGGTGCTTATATTTATGATCTTGACCAACTCTAACCTCACACAGAGAAAACATCTCTCCAGAATACTCTGGATTTTGGTATTCCCATTGGCAGACATACATTATAATTTTCTGGGAGAAGTAAAGGAAAGTGAAGCAAACTAAATTCTGGTAAAAAACTAGATTCACCAACTCTTAGATTGATATTCTTTTGTTCACTGAAGGAGACCAATTGCTTAGTATTTGTGCAAGCCTTTGTCACCCTTATCCCAAAACGATGGTGCAAGATTGTGACGGAAGTTCCATCAGAAAGCTTATTTGGTCCTTAGCCTCCCTCCTGAAACTACGAGCAATGACCATTTATTGCCAGATGTGATGGTTGCAGAGGTAATGTGCACACCTGCCTGCAATAGGAACTAGACTGAGGTCACCAGCTCATTTCACATGGGATGGTAAATGACCATTGATAGTAACTCTTGACCATGAACTACATTTACCTGAGTACAGACTGGCATTCCACATGGGAGATGGTTTGAATTGCATTAGCAGTTTCCTGAGCCACCTGTTTTCAATGGTTTAATGTTAGCAGAGCATGGAAATTAATTAATTTAAATGTTACCTTCTTCAGAGAGTCATCTGGGATGTGGAGTATTATACATTGCACAAAGGAAAAAGATGTGCAATTGCAGAATGTTTAGATGAGGCAATCACAGTGTTTTCAGCTGTGCCAATAAAAAGCTAGGTAAGAAATTCAGTCCCATGCAGATGATTGGTGTAAAGGCATCATGCTAAAATCTCACTTGGGTTTAATCAGCTCTCCCCCCAGCCCGAGTCCCATTGGAGACAGTAAAACAGGGACTGAAAAGACGAAAGTAGGCATGCAACTTAGATACATCTAACATAAATGATCCACTTCAGTGCACACGAGGAATTTCATTTTCTATAAGCTGGGCTGTTTCGTGATGTTTTCCACTTTGGTTTCTAAACCAGCCCCTTGAAAGTTTTATTCATGCAAATATAAATAGTTCTCACTCAGAATTGAAGGCTCAGTCCCTTTCAAAATAGACCTAATTGTTCTGTATTCTAAAATACCGGTTTAGTAGCCAACAATTGAAATCTTGGGATTTGATTTAATAATAATACTTAATAATACATAGCTTTTTAGGGGGGGAGTGAATTCTTTCATTTGGATATGGCACTATGTCAGACCAGGAGGAAAGAAGTTCTTGAAACAGAAAATATAGCTGCTATTGATTGAATGTTTCTGAACATCTTTGTACAGCGTATTATGTTGGGGGTTTGTTTGTTTTACATTTTAAATAGCAAAATACTGCTCCTAGTATGAGAAAATTCAAGTTTTCTTTCTTGCAATACTTGGAATAATCTCTTTCTGCCTTGTGGCCAGATTTGGTCCCAGGGTTGACTGTTATCTACCTTCAGGCCTGAGAAGCCAATTTTTCTTTTCCTTACTTTCACCTTCGTTATCACAGTCCCATGAGATGGGCTGAACCTTCAGCAGTATGACAGGGGTGAAGAGCACACAGGCATACTTTGTCACATGCTTTGGCTTGAAGTGAAGGCATCATCCTGCTTTGACTGTGCTGCAGTACTGGAGTTGTGCACAACTTGTAATAATGAAAACTCAATCCAAAGCCTGTGAAGTCAATGGAAGCCTTTCAGTGGGTTTTGGACCAGACAGGAAGGATGTTCTTCACCACCACTGTCTTCCATCTCAGAAATTCACTTCCATTTCAGTTGCTTGAGGATACTTCACATGGCACTCATTAACATTTTGGATAGGATTTTCATAATCCTACTATCCCACAAAAGTTGGTAGTATGTTTCCTATTTGTTTTTGCAGGAACAAACCTAAGACAAACAGTAGGTGGAGGGTTTGATTTTGTTTTTATGTCCACTCATTACTGAGTCATCAGCAAGGGTAATAGAGTGATTTTACCTCTCATTTCTAGAAACAGTAGCCATTATTAACTGCTCTGTGTGCCTTATGTAGTGATCTGCATCAGCAGATATAAGGCTTAATGCTTAAGTACTCTTAGTCCAGCACTTTTCACAATCATTAAGCTTACTTTTTGAAACACAAGCATTAAAACCTGGTTTAGAACCACAGGAGAGTCTCTAAATAGAGGTAGGTCAGCATTTCTAGGAAAAAAAAAAAAAACGAATGCAGTGTAAATGTCTCTGAAAGACAAGAAGAAACAGCACCACAGCCAAAAAGAAGGCAATGCAAGCATCCAGTTTCGTAGTTAAGCAACATGAAGTTCTTGTTCCTGTGCCCTCTGCATTAAGCGTATATTCCCAGTAGTGTTCTTTCATAAAGCTATCAAATGGTTACCCTGGTTCACTTTCTGGCAGAATCTACTAGTTCTGTCTACACATAATTTATCATGTTTGTCTACCCAACTTGAGATTTAAAAAGTATGTGTCATGTCAGATAACAACCCTGAACACTGACAGTATGCAGTAAAACTGCAATTTTAAACATATTGTCCGGTACTGTGGGTGAAATTGCCTATAATTAAGTGTGTACAGAATTGTGAGTACCATTAATTACACTTGCAACTAGCCCAATTTAGCTATGATTATGCATATAATCTTAAAGACAGATTGAAACCTGGCTAAAAATAAGAGCCACCATCTCACTCTCCAGATGTCAGATTATTGTCAAACAGTTCATTATTGAATGAAATTAGCCATTATTCATATAGATATTTATAGATAACTGTTGGAGAATATCAGGTGGTAAAGAATATTAGAAAATGTATGGTATTGTACATAAATGTTATATGTGTGATTTATTTGAATTGTCCATCTAATGTCAAGAATTAAAGGGTTTTCTTTTTAAAAAAAGGTATTCATCTTTTCCTAAGCATTGGTAAAAACGTGGACACTCCAGCTCTTCTACATGTGTATCCAGCAAGGATACTCCTCCATTCATGTGTCTGTCTTAAAAAAATAGAGAAAGCTGGGTGTGCCACACATAATGTGGAGAGTTTCTAGTGAAAATCAATCTAACCCATTGTTTTTCAATCTCTTTTTTTTTCCCTCTGCCCGTGTCCTGTCCCTCCCTCCTTCTTGCTAGGGAGTTTTCCAAAGAAAGAGAGAAGGCTAAGGCTCGGGGTGATTTCCAGAAATTACGAGAAAAACAACAGCTAGAGGAAGATTTGAAGGGATACTTAGACTGGATAACCCAAGCAGAAGATATTGACCCAGAAAATGAAGATGAAGGCATGGATGAGGAGAAGCCTCGAAACAGTAAGCAATTTTCTTCTCTCTCTCTCTGTGTTTTTAGCAAGAGAGCCCATGCCCACCTGCTGTAGTGCTGAGATGGCTTACAAGGAAGGAAAAATTCTTCCTGAGATGCTCACTGTGCTTGTACACAATTCTAGTTTAATGCCTGTAGGAAACTGTGGGACGGAGAAATACGTATACAATAACTGATATTATTCTGCAGAGCCTCAATTTCTTGTCTGTGATACTGACATAAGGTCTTGATATTAAAAAGGAAAAAAAAAAAAAACTTGTCATTAATAGTCCACTACTAAGTTAAGTTTTAAAATATACATCTGTCTCCTATTTATTTTATTGCAGTACAGTGTTGCAGGCCATTTACACATAGTTAATTACTTCTAAAGCAAAGGTTTCTAGGCAAAGGGTAGCTACAGTATGGGAGAAGGTGCAAATCAACCCTATTGTACATTAAGTGGGCCATCTGTAACTCCATTGAAATCACCAGAATTGTGTTTGTTTTTGCCAGGCTGGAATTAAGCTCTAAGACACCACTTGTAAGGGAATTATCTCTTTTTCTGCTCTTCTGGAGTTGAGAAGATGTTTGTGCACAGTGAGAATTCACCAACTATCTCTTCTTATTAGAGATTCTGAAGAAGGACAGGCTTGGAGAAAGCAGTGGTTCCCTGCATTTCATTACCTTTATTGAATTTTCTTCCATCTTCTCATTTATCAGTACAGGCTGTGTAACACTTCAGAAATGCCTAGCAGTTATTACAGGTTGTGCACCTGGGAAATGTCAGAGTTGGAACCTTAGACAGATAATGGACTCTGGCTCTATTCTAGCTTTCATTATGGAAATTTGCATTTTCCTAGTCTGATTTTGGAAGAGAAGACGTGAAACATTTCGTTAGGGATCACCCTTCCTACCAAACAAGCAAAATCCTTGGGATAATCCAGTCAGAAACTTATATTCTAGTAACAGGAAGATTGGAAAGTTGTGCCTACAGAGTAAAGGAAAATTTGTACCAGATGTTCGTGATCTTCTGGGGAGTAAGTACTACTCTCTGTTGCTGCCAGAATTAAGTTCTTTTAGAAAAAATTGGCGTCATTAATATCAGGTTATACCCACAATACTCATGTATCTGGACTTGGAGTCACCAATGTGACTTGCTCAGAGTTTCCCCAAATTAGGTTGTTTTGATCTTTATGCTGGTGTCTTCATAGGGCATATAGCTAATTTTCACAATTCAACCTCAGTAATTACTTAGAAAGTAATTTATTATTCATGGCCAAAATTTGCTGCTTGGTGGCATATCATACATGGAAGGTGATGTCTGGTGATCCAAATTAACTTATTTGTGGGCAGAATTCCCTGTTAAAAAAAAAAAAAAAAAAAAAAAAAACCAAACCCCAATACACCTTTAAAAAAAAAAAAAAAAAAAAAAAAAGTCCAAACCCACTATCACAGTGGGCTCTCATTTGTATGCTCTGAGTGGAGAGGCCAAAAACTGAGTTGCACACAGCTTGACTGATGTCACCAGGAGACCTCTTTGACTTCAGTGGGACTTGGGTTGCATTTATCAGTTTTCCTCTTAGAGACACCTGTTAAAAGAAAGTGTAGGCACAGTTATAAGGTGTATAAAAACTTGCCTTGGTGACTAGAAGACCTGGAGATTTTCCTGTTCCATTAATACAAAAATGATGCTGCTTTGGTAAAATTTTGGAATATGTCAGGTGTGGATTCATTGCACATGTTGTGGGGTGGGGTCAATCCACTGTTGAACTAACATGTTCCTTTTATGGGTGGTGATGTTAAGAAATGAAAGATAACATGTCTTCAGCTCGGTTTCAGTCATTAAGTCATATAAAGGTGAACTTTGTAAGATATTGTTTATAAAAATAGAACTCTTATATCTGACAAGTTGTCTAGAGTTTCTCACAGTTGGCTGTTAGTGACAGAATAACATATTATTAGCAAACTAACTCGATGCCCATTTCTTTGCCAAAGTATTAATGAATACAGCATCTTCAATGCCATTGGTTCCAAGTGTCAGGTCTAAGGCCAGTGGCTGCTGATTAGTCCCTAGTACACAGCATATCGTTTGCTGCAACGTTATAGCCTTGGGTCACATTATTTTTTTACATTATGTGACAGACCAGATTTGGAAACAGATGTCTGAAGTGCCAAGCACTAAACATTAGAATTATGCCTCTTTTGAGAGGAGTTGCTCAGGATGTGAAGGAAGTCTGTGGACTCATTTTGGCCGTGTACTGGGGATAATGGTTTTGCTGCCAAAAGCCTCTGCACAAGAGAGGAGCAGAGACCAATCAAACAGGTCACTCTATTCAGTTTATTTACCTATTCTTCTGACATATGTGCCAAATCTAGTGCACGTTGTTGATAGCAATATTCTTTTCAGCACCTATGGTTTGCATCTAATGAATGCCAAATTAATCCTTCTTCTAGCTTTGGTGTACTATCCAGTGCTCAACCTTGGTCTTCCTGCCACAAGCTTTTGTGACTGTGGAAGTCAAGGGTCTCTGTGCTGCCATCCCAGGGTGGGGAAGCAAATAGCCTCTGGGTACAGACGGTAAAGAGCAGCGCTCCCCATCCGACAGCCGATAAAATATCTGAGTAAATGCCCCCACCCAGCAGAGTTGTGGAGCTTACACAACATTTTTTATTATTTCTTAAATTGCATTCGTTTTTGTTTTCCTGTAGGCTATTTTGTTTACTTTTGCACAATTGCAGGTGCTGTATTTTTTAAGACCTGTTGTATTTCTTGATATTTCTGAATTTCAATATTTAGTCACATGACAAGTAAGAATGTATTTTCAAAGCCAAATCACTTGCAGATGTTCTCTACTAAGATGTCATACTCACTTCATTGGTTGGCATGTTTATCTGTCATGTATGTCATATGGGAAGAAGCTCCTGGTATACTTATTGTACCCACGTATGTGATTCCACATCTTGCTTTTCCTGCTGCCTACAATCATACCTTCTGCAGAACCGTCTCAACCCACTCAGGTGCTGGAGACTAGTTTACTAACCAACTCTGACACTGGCCGTCTGCTCTCCTGAAGCTGAGTCACATTGCAGCTGTAGTGCTCTTCAGGCTTGACAGACCTGCTAGGAAATGGATTGAATGAACACTGCAACAAAATCAAACTAAGAAGTAGAGACCCTTTCCTTAATGGTTTCAGCTTAAGATAATGCTACAGAAAATGCACCATGGAGTAAGTGACAGAGAGGTTGCTTGGTTTTCCTGATGTGTTATCTACTACATGGAATGTTTTGGCATTCATGCCAGCAGTCAATCACCGGTAGGGTTAAGCTAAGGGAGAAAGATAGTATTAATTCTCTTTCAAAAGTTTACAAAATAAGCTCCAACTAAGAGACAGATGACACAGTTGTAAATGCCCTCAAGAATCCCTTTGGTTTGAATTGTCCCCAAGACATCTGAATCCCACCTACTAGGACTGCTAAACCTACATTGCTGAGGCTCCAATGTCTTCGTTGTCTTCTTGTGTTCAGCTCTAGCTGAAAGAGCTCAGTTGCCTCATATGTGGCTTCAGTGTGCTCTTCTCTCAAGTGCTTTTCTCAGCTCACTGCCTTCCGTGTCTAGTATAACGTCCTGAACTCAACTGCCCCTTTCCAGCACACCTTTTTCAGTGTTTAATTAATTAATAATGTTGACTTTTAAGGTATCAGCCCTGAGCCTTTCATATAACAATTCACTGAAGTACACAGGACAGTTCAGATCTCCTTAAGCTGTTATTTAAAACAAAAAAAAAATTCAAGAATTGCCTTTGCATCAGTTATGTTGTACTGATACTCAGATGATATGGGCTCCAGCCTGAACTCTGACAGTGACTCACACCAGTATTTTAAAGGAGTCACATCACTTTTTGCTTTCTGTTTCCCCTTGGAGGTTGTTTGGAGGTTTGGGTTTTTTTAAAAAATAATATCAGAAAAGTTCTGAAGTTTAATTAAAACATACTTATTAAACAGGAGACTCAGCTAATGTAAACTCTGAGATTCAGCAGTTTACACCATCTGGGCTCTGACCCAGGTAGTCTACCTAAACTGAATCATCCCAAACACAGAGAACATATGTTTCCAGTCTCTTCTTTGTCCTTGGCTGCAGAGACAGCTTTTGCTGTCATCTTATGCTGTAGATTGAGCTGCCTGCCTGGGCTGTCTCCCTGTCAGCATGGGAACTGCCTCCTGTAAAGCAGAGAACACAAAGTGGAAAGGAAGAGAAATCCACTTGCATCCCCATTTGATTTGACTGCCTATGCCAGTCCTTAGGGCATCACCAGTCATACTTTGTATATGCCACTGCTTTCCTGAAGCTGTCAAACCTTGCCCTAAGTCTCACTGAGTGGTAACAGCCCTTAATGAAATGGTCAACAAGTCCAGGGACTAAAACAGTGAGGACCTTAGTTGAGGAAAGCACGAGAGAAGAAGATGAGTGCAGCCAGAGGTGGACAATCTGTGCAGCCTTTAGCTGATGCTCTCCATAGCAGAGGTCTTGGCATTCTTTTGAGGCAGTTTATTACCAGTCCTCTCTCACACGCACTGGGGACATTCACAGAGCAGACTGAATTCATTCTCTGTGGTTTGGGAAGTACATGTTTAAGGCATTTTTTCCTTGTTGCTTGAAAACATGATTTTGCCATTATGGCAGATGTGAGGTGGGAAATATGAAAAGGCTTCTGGGAGCTGTTTATGTTGATGGTTTTCTGCTATGCTATTTCCCTGGTGGGCCTTCCACATGGGAAGAAAACATTAATTTGACAGAGGAGAGAAACAGCTACTGAATTTCAAAATTACATGATAGCAGAGGGAAACGTCCCTCGTGTTGCCACAGTAACAGGGCATTTGGCCCTTTTTTTCTTCCTGAGAGTGGTCTGGCATGCATCTGTATTACTGTGGGCAGAAGCATGAAAACTCAATCCAGCCCAGATTCTCCTCCTATTGAAATTGATTGGCAAAACTCCCATTGACTGCGCTGGGG